CCATTTTTATAACATGAAACCATTGCTTACCACACATTACCATATGGTAACGTAGTAAAACACAACAGGACTTATGTTTTCCTCCATTTTTATAACATGAAATCATAGCTTACCACACCTTACCATATGGTAACAAACTAAAACACAGCAGGACTTATGGTTTTTTGCTATTTTAAAACATGAAACCATAACTTACCACACATTACCATATGGTAACAAAGTAAAACAGAACAAGAATTATGGTTTCCTCCATTTTTATAACATGAAACCATTGCTTACCACACATTACCATATGGTAACGAAGTAAACCACAATAGGACTTATGTTTTCCTCCATTTTTATAACATGAAACCATAGCTTACCACACCTTACCATATGGTAACAAACTAAAACACAGAAGGACTTACGGTTAGCATGAATTGGACAACTATAATATAGATAATTTGTACTTACTTGGTTGACTGTTCTGATATTCTTCAAATCAAAGTTCAGTGATGATGACTGGTCTGGACTTTTGTTTTTTTGTTTTTTCGGTGATTCATAGACTGACTCATTCTCCTCTTCCTCATCAGCTGCATCATCAGCCTCATCGTCACTAATGTTGGCAAGCTTTTCGATCTCGTTCAACTCTTTTCCATTGTCGTAGCTCTTAATGTTCTCAAAGTTGCTATCAACATTGTTATCATCATAGTAGCTTACTGTTGGTGTTCGAAGCTGGGTTGAGAATGCGATTTCGTCCAGTTTGTACATGAAGCATACCTTTTTATGCAGATAGTTGTATTATTTTTTCAAAGAGTATCATTTATATATAAAATATATGAGTAACAAGGTTGAAATGGCCTAGGGAATGGAGACTTACTGTAAGGAAGTGAAGATCTGCACTGACGTAGAGGGTTGGTGATTTCAATCCTTCATTCATGTGGTTGAAGAAGTATTTTCACCAGTTGTAGCTGGTGAAATGTTTCAGTTCATCAGTCTTCAAGTACTCAAGCATGTTGAGTTCAGCCATAGGTGCTGAAGTTGGGCACAGCAAGCCTCCGGTGACCAGCAGAAAGAACAATTGTAACCATCTCTTACTGTTTGTAACTGTAGGAAGATCTTTTTCTACCTGACTTAGCCTTTACCCTTGGAGTGGATGCTCCATCTACTTCCAGTAGGGTTTCTATTGCATAATCTGCTGCGTCGTCCCAAGAAATCGTGGGAGGTACAACTTCCCTATTCCCCATTGGCAGACCATATACCCTATGAAAGTCGATTGGTGATATCTTCATGCGTGTCATGTCAGGTAGCTTGAACGATTGTTTCATTGGATTGTATTTGTTCATTACGAACAGTGCAAAATGGTTGTTTATCTTTGTCTGCTTGATTGATATTAAGCCTGCTGACTCAATCCTACTGTCACTCTAGAAAATGGCCAAGTGTAACCATTTCCTAAAGCGTAGTATAGCGGGTTTGGGTTTTAATGTCAACCCGGGTCCTAGATGTGATGACTACTCAGTGAATTCGTATTATCTAGCAATGAAACTTTAGTGAAGATCTAAACTAACAAGCAAGCAAAGCAACTAAACGGTTGTTTTCAGGTTAAGAGAGGTCACCCGGATATGGTTCCCCCTAGACTGCAGTTAAGCCGGATTGTAATTACCAAGTTCAATTTCTATGATAGTTATACTGCGGAAGGTTCTTAAACAGTCTGAAGTCTCGACTAAAGGTCTTCAGACCCTCTCAATCTGAGTCTCTAGCGGGCGACTAACCTCCACCGGAGTAAACAGATTGAGGCCCTAACGAACCAAACCTCCACTACCGAATTGACTTCGGTACAGAATAGCGAATTGGCTCCTCGACTAAAGTCACCAATTCGCTACCTTCAATTAAGGATGCTCTATCAACCTAGGCAGATATTCTCATTCTAGGTTAAAGCAGAAACAACAGGAATTTGATAAGGATTCATTAGGGGTGGGAAAACGGTTGCGGTTTTGCGGTTAAACCGCAACCGCACCGAATAAGAGCGGTTTGTGGTTAACCGCAAACCGTTTAAAAGGGCCTTTATTCGGTAACAGTTAGTGGAATTGGCCCTTTTGCGGTTTGCGGACTAACCGCACACCGCACCGAACAAATAACCCCACCGAATAACTAACCGCATTAAAAGGAATACCCAGCCCAAGCCCAACCCATCCAACATCCCAAAATGCAAACTCTTTCCCCTCTACAGCCCAAAGCCCCAAACGGTCAAACCCAAAAAATGAAGAAGAGAATCGGCCGCCTAGCTAGGGTTCCATTCCTTCCTTCCTTTTGAGTTTTGACAATTCCAATTTCCATTTTCCAAAATCGGCCGCCGCGCCTACAGTTCCTCTGTTCCATTCCTTCCTTCGTTGTCGTCGGCGAAGAGGAAGAGTAGCCGCCAGGGAGACAGCAAGGCAGCGAGCAGCGAGGCAGCGAGCAGCGAGGCAGCGAGCAGCGGCCAGCGAGCACCTGCGCAACGAGCACCGAGCAGCCAGTCCAGATCCGTCGGCGGCGTTCACGAGCAGGCGTCAGACCGTCGAGAAGCAGGAGAAGGCGTCGCGGCGTTCACGGGCAGTGTCTCCTTCCATCGACGGTCGAGAAGCAGAGCAAAGGACGGTTTGAAGTGCAGTTAACCGCAACTAACCGCAAACCGCAATTTGCGGTTAGTGGTTAACCGCAAACCGTTTGCAATGCGGTAACGGTGGGTGAGTTTCCCCTTGTGCGGTGGCGGTTAACCGCGCTTATTCGGTGCAGTTAACCGCAACCGCACCGTTTCCCACCCCTAGGATTCATGCCATTCAATCATTCAAACCTCAATCGAATATAATCAAATCATAGAAACAGTACTTGGGTTCATACAATCAATCCTAACATACAGATCTAGGGTTTCCCACACCTAGATGAATGGGAAAACTACTCCATGGAGAAAGAAGCAAAAGCAGAATCAGATGCGGAAACCATACTCTGAAGGATGGAATTCAGCTTCTGGACGTTGATCGGCACTCTTCCAATCTCAAGCCAAGCTCCAATGGTGATGAAGATCAAGCTAGGGCACTTGGAGACTCTTGTTTGTCGCTTTCTCTCTCTAGGAATCGCTCTGTCTCTCTAAAACTCGAATCGCCTTCTGTTTTGGCTGAAATCTGCTTAAAAGGGCATCACTGGCCAAAGCACGGTCGAGGGCACGGCTGTGCTTTGCCTCAGCCCGCCCGTGCTTTGGCTAGGGTTAATTACACGGCCAGCAGTTGGGAGAAACACAGCCGTGCTTTTGGGAGGACACGGCCGTGCTTTGGGCGGACACGGCCGTGCTTTGTCTCGGCCCTGCCCGTGTAATCAGCTCATGTCTGCCAAACTCGAATTTGCTCTCGGCAGTAAAAGCACGGCCACAGAACACGGCCGTGTTCTGAAGGCCTCCTGCCCGTGTTTTGGCTCCAGCTCAACGAAATGACTTCCGAATGCCCCGAAACTCGTGCTTAAACTTTCCTTTGACGCCTGGGACCTGAAATATGACAAAATAGCACAACCCGGCGTAAAATAGGCCAAGAATACACGACTATGCCCCTCAAACGGATAAGAACTAGGGGCGCAAATATGCGCAATTACATCGTTATCACCTGCTAGGCCTAATATCTCAAGTTTCTGTTTCTGCTCATCTTTTATAGTCCTTGCAATTGCAGATATTCTTGTTGGGCTGCACCTTGTGCGAAAAGTTTTTCTTTGCTTTACCATAGTGTACCTGAATGTAGAAATTAGGAATAGTCTGTTAGCATGCTTTTTACCATAATATACCATATGGTACCATAATGGTTTCCTACCATACCAAATCAAACCATATATTTATCACATTTTACCATATGGTAATTACATCAAACCATGTCTTATAACATCTTACCATATGGTAACGAAGTAAAACACAACAGGACGTATGTTTTCCTCCATTTTTATAGCATGAAACCATAGCTTACCACACATTACCATATGGTAATAAACTAAAACACAGCAGGACTTATGGTTTTTTTGCTATTTTACAACATGAAACCATAGCTTAACACACATTACCATATGGTAACAAACTAAAACACAGCAAGACTTATGGTTTTTTGCTTTTTTACAACATGAAACCATAGCTTACCACACATTACCATATGGTAACAAACTAAAACACAGCAGGATTTATGGTTTTTTGCTTTTTTACAACATGAAACCATAATTTACCACACATTACCATATGGTAACAAACTAAAACACAACAGGACTTATGGTTTTTTGCTATTTTACAACATGCAATCATAATTTACCACACATTACCATATGGTAACAAACTAAAACACAGCAGGACTTATGGTTTTTTGCTATTTTACAACATGCAATCATAAGTTACCACACATTACCATATGGTAACGAAGCAAAACACAACAGATTCTACATCAGTTCAGCAACGCATGGTAACAATTCGGTAATTTAGCGAGTTTACTACAATTTTCATATGAAGAGTGACTGAGATACTGTTCTATTGTTCTGTGGATGGATTTCGAAGAAAGAAGTGAGGTTTTACCTTGATATTTTGTGTGAAAACGATTTTTGAGCCTCGTTGAAGTTGGAAACCCTTCGTTTTTCGACGAAGAAGCGAGAACAGTGTATCGTTGAATGATTCTTCGAAAACCTTTGCGAAAATCGTTCGATTTGAAGTTTTTTTTCTGGAAGTTTTTGCTGCGATTTTGGTGAGAGAATTGAGGATCGGAAGTAAGAATGGAGAGTTAGAGAGCAGAGGGAAGTGGAACTGTCGCTTGAAAGGTGAGAGAAAGAATGAGAGAAGGCGGGACGGTTGTCGTTGTCACGTCTGCAATTCAAATTGTCAGAGAGTGATTACTATTTTGCCCCCGCGTGTATTTAATTGGCATGATCTGACGGCTGGGAAGATGGCGCGATGGACGGTCAGATGGATGGTTACTGACCGTTACTGATAGGTCGGTTACTGAGGTGATCCGGATTCCGGACCCCTATTTATTTGAATAAATTAATATGAGTTCAAGGAATCAACTTCCCCAATTTGAAAACCTCTTCTCTGCAACGAAACTCATATCGGAGCTCTGAAAGGCGAGGGAGATCATCCTCCGCCTGTTAACAATTCTCTCTGCCATGGACGCACGTCACGCATCTCTTGGTCGACGAACTGTACACATCTACTCATCTTCCCACCCATTTTTCACTTCATTTTTACTTTCTCATGTGCCTGAAATTGAGTTCGTCCCTTTGCAATCTCTGCAGCTGGAAGAGATTCGACAAAAGCGAGCGGCAGAGAGATTGAGCCAAGCATCGTCTGGAACAGATCTCAGCAAGTCTCCCATCCTTGCAGGTCTCCGTAGATCTCCAAATTATGGTTTTTGCGAAGACGGCTGCACAATTCATCCCGCGGCGGCTTTCTTCTTATTGCAACGTGCATTTGATTATCGTTCTTTGATTTTCCGCAGATAATGTTGGAATAAAGAAATCCGAGAGTGCCAATCGACTCTCAGAGGTGGGAATTGCGCATCATAGTTCCTTTGCTCTTTTATCTCTTTTAATGGGCGCCTTTTTGTCTGCCTTAATGGCTGTTTGGTTGCTGAGGTAGTTTACCCACGAACACGAATGCATGGTAGCTAAGAATTGTCTCTAAACTTGGTACAAGAGTTTTCACATCAAAAGGATTGAAATTCTATGTGCTGCTGAATTAGCCTGCCATTTGTTGTGTAATATTAGAAGGGAATTGGAAGATCATGGTTGGCTCCTAATCGCAAATCGGACTCCTCAGGTACTGAATTTTTTTGTTAGTGTGTGCAGGCTGACGTTAGTGGTTTAGTAGCGCAGCTGCAAGAACTTCAGAAAAGGAATTCGGAGTTAGAGGAGAACAACAGGGTATTGTTTTTTAAGGTATTAGTCCAGCCGTGTAGTTTTAATTCAGTGTTTGTTACCAACGTTAGTTCTTGCATAGCTCCCATTATGTTATAATCCTGAATATTGTTGCAATGATGAATTTCCAGCTTCAATCGGAGAATACTGAGAAGGAGACATTACAAAGTCGCCTAAATGATCTGGTAAAAATCCAAACGTCTTCTCCGCATTTGCCCCATCTCACTTTATTGTTTAGAAAATCAAAGAGAAGTCCTTGTTGGTTCTGGATTAGAGAGTGAAATTCTATTTGATTCCTTGTTCTTTGCTCCAGCGTTTTATTGCTAGACAAAGCCTGGGAATGACACAGCAATTATTATTCCAGTGGTTTTCTTTAGGAGAATTTCATGCAAAATAATTTGAATTATGTAAGTGATCATTATTCTGGGATAGGGGTAGGTGAGAAATCCAATGTTAAATGTGAAACTTATTGCAAAAGAGGGGAAATCAGCCCAAGTTCCTGTTGTGTTACGCTGCTATTCAATAGAGAGCAATTGGTGCATGAAATGTTTGATGTCAAATCTTTACATCGTTTCTGACGCTTGGTCTTTTCTTATCTACTGCAGGAACAGAGTACTGTTCCATCTTTAAGGAAAGCTCTTAAGGATGTAGCAATGGAAAAAGATGCAGCGGTTGTTGCAAAGGTAAGAATACTTGACTCAAAATTTCTCTTCTATTCATTCATCTCCTTTCATGCATGATCAAAAGTGCTACTGCAGGAGGACCTTTCAGCCCAGCTTCGTACTCTGAAGAAACGGTTAAAGGATGCAGAAGAGGAACAATACAGAGTATGTGAATGCTTTTGAATCTTGACAATGATACAGAGTAATTTCACTTATTTTGTTAGCTTGTTCGGAATAGGCTGAGGAAGATGCTGCAGCGTTAAGAGCAGAGTTGAACTCAATTCAGCAGCAGACAATGAGTAATCAGCTCAACGGTATAACTTCAATGGGTATTCCAACAGATCAATTACAAAGCTTGGAACATGAGTTGGCTACTTTGAAGTCTGATCTGCAGGTTTGAATCATCTTCAGATCCCTGCTGAATTGATCATCGCTTATCTCTAATGTGGTCCAAATTTTTCAGCGAGAGTCTTCCATGAGGCAAGTAGAGCAACAGCGGTTGCTGGAGGAGAAAGTCAAGGTCTCTGCCCTTGAGTCTGAAAAGCAGCAGCTGGAAGACAAACTTCTTTCTCTGTCACAAAGGGCACCAGGTGAACCAAGATGCTAGCCGTGAAGGCTTTTATCTTTCTCAATCAAGACTTTTCTAATATTTCTTGTTACCTGGTGTGGCTATTATTTTGCATTAATTTGCTGAATGCCGCCTCTTGTTTGTGCAATGCAGAACAAGTGTCAGAAGGAGCTGCTTATAATGTATTTTCAATGGTATGATTGCTATTTGGCTATCCATTTTGTTGTGCTATTTATTGTAGGTGAATTATATCCAACCTGTCATTTTCCAAAAAAAAAAAAAAAAGCAAACAAACAAACAGTTCCAGTATTTTTAGCAACTAATTGCATTTCGAATTTGGCTTTGTTATTGAACCCCGAAGGAGGATAAAGAGAGACTTGAGAAGCAGTTGCATGATATGGCTGTTGCAGTTGAGAGATTGGAAAGTAGTAGACAGAAGCTTCTGAAGGAGGTGTAGTCTCTGTTTACCTGATTTCCTTTTATTTATAGGTGTCAGTTGCAAGGACACTTACCGCCCTTAATGTTTTTCATATTTTTGCCAGATTGATTCCCAATCTTCAGAGATAGAGCAGCTCTTCGAAGACAATTCTCACCTTTCACATTCTCTTCAAGAGGCAATGAACACTGCCAACCAATGGGAGAGCCAGGTAAATTCCTCCATTGTTCTTATGCTTTTCCTTATCTTTATCGCTTGGTGCACAAACAGCATTGTTTGTCAAGGAGATCTCGATTGTCGTCGAGATTGTTTGCTATTTTTCTGTTACCATCTAGTCACTTGGTTGCTAGATGTTTCTGGGATTCAAAGCAGATTTCTATGATGTTAGTCTACTTATTTAGATGTTTGTTTCTCAATGCTAACAGCTTTCCTCATGCTTGTCCAGTTAAAGGATTGTCTCAAGCAGAATAAAGAACTTCGTGTAGTGCTTGATAATTTGAGAACAGAACAGGCAGCTGTACTGTCTTCAAGTTACAAGGACGGGCAGAGAGGCTCAAGAGATGCAGAAAGAGATGGCTTAAACTCACAGGGATCTGCAACTGAAGTTCTCTCTCTCAAGGTTAGTGAGTAGTCTGTTCAGTTTCACGTTTTTGTTTTACTTCACTCTCATCTCATGATTTCCATCTTCTCCGTGATTCAGGGGGAGCTCGTAAAAGAACAAAGCAGAGCAGAAGCTTTATCGGCAGAGGTCATGCAGCTATCAGCAAAGCTCCAGCAGGCAACACAGGCATACATTGGTCTTGCCCACGCGTGAGTTTCTTCTGTTTCCACTCTCCAAGTTCTTTCCCCCACACACCTTATGATCTTTGGGTCCACTTTAGAGTCTTCCCACGGCAGATTTCCTAAAAGAAAAGAATGTATTTTTGTGCATGGGATTCGCAGCTATAGACCAGTGCTTCGGAACATTGAAAGCAGCCTCATCAAGATGAAGCAGGATGGCTCCGTGACAGCTCAATGAGAAAGCAGAGAACGCTACGATTCATTCGTTGCATATTTCAAGAATAGCTGACCAACACTGCAGGCTTTTATACCTACTAGCGCTGATGAAATGCTCGGACTTTAGGGCGAACGGCCCAGCTGGAAGAGTAGAAAGGCCATTGCCCTCATGTTTACTTTCTGCGTTTGGGTTGAGGGAAGTGATGTGGGGATACCAGATATCATTTTTAGTTACCTGGTGTACAATGGTTCTATTTTCTTCTCACAATTAATAGAAATTTACGTTTTTCGAACATTTTGCATTTGGAGCAATTGAAAGGCAATTGAGATACTTATTAGGTAGAGAACTCGCCAACCTTGCGACTGGAAAGAAGAAATAAAGTAATCAGATGGAATGGCTATTACCATATCTTATAAGGGTGTATTATTTTCTCAAAACTGTAAGGTGTACGCGCTGATATACACGTTGCCCCGAAAAGACAGAAAACTTTCGGCATCTGTTTTGTCAAGAATGTAAGCAGAAGCAACTCAAGAGAAACAGAGTAAAGAATGATCTTGATTCTCACCAATAATCCCCACAAGAACACACCCCATCACGGAAATGGTGAAAGCGATTCACGTCTCTCACCAGAATCTCTTTACGTGCAAACTTCGATATGAACTTGGTAAAGGAGTGACAATCTTCACACAGCCGCAGGTTCTTGGTGATCCGAATTGGCTCTGCGTTGCTGGTGTTGATGAGTCCAAATGCTAGCGCTAATTTTTCGCTGTGGCCAAGCACGATCCTCTCTTTCTCCTCTTCCCCAAGGTCATATAGCACCACTTTGATCTGCGGCACATATCCTTTCTCCTTCATCTCCGACGATAATTCACACAGCAGAGCATGTAGCTGCTCGATTTGAGGATTAAACTCATCAGTCGAGACAAAGGAATGTATTTGCCTCTTTACTTCTATCCAGCTGCGACCGGGGACTTTCTGTAGTCCTCTGGATTCAAGGAGCTTTTTAACTCTTTTTACTTCGTCCCACTTACCAGCTTCTGCATAAGTGTCAGCCAGCAGCACGTAGTTCCCAGCATTTGCAGGCTCGAGTTGAAAAAGCTTTGTGCTCGCCCTCTCTGCAAACTCAACGTTACAATGAATCCTAGACGATCCAAGGAGAGATCCCCAGACCTTAGGCCCTGGTTCTATCCGCATATCATCGATGAATTTAGCTGCTTCCTCTAACTTATTGGCCCGCCCTAGAAGATCCACCATGGAAGCATAATGTTCCACACTAGGAATTATCCCATACTCTTTTCTCATCGCCTGAAACAATGCTCTTCCTTCATCCACAAGACCTGCATGGCTACAAGCTCCCAGAAGACTGACAAACGACACAGGACTTGGTGATATACCGCAACTGATCATGTCTTTGAAAATATCTATTGCTTTCTTCCCATGCCCATGAGCTCCAAACCCTGAAATCAGAGAATTCCAAGAGACGACATCTCGTTTATCCATGCCGTCAAAAACTTGTTGTGCCACTTCGAGTTTGCCGCACCTTGCGTACATTGTGACCAGTGCGCTGATTACTGGCAAGATGGTATCAAGACCATTCCTCAGAATGTATCCATGTATTAACTTTCCTTGCTCCAGGGCTGCAAGAGCAGCACAAGCTTGAAGGACGCTGACCATTGTCACAGAATTGGGACCTACATCCTCTTCTGTTTTGAGCATCATTTCCCTGAAGAGCTTCAATGCCTCGAAAGCCTTCCCATTCTTCGCATAACAAGCAATCATGGCACTCCAAGAAACCACATTTTTGACCGCCATCTGGTTGAAAACAGCACTAGCATAAGCCACGCATCCAAACTTGGCATACATATCAACCAATGTAGTCATAATATGTACAAATCCCCCATACCCATGTCGCAGAATATGAGCATGAATCTCCTTTCCCTTCCACAGCAACGATACTAAACACTCGGAAGCAACACAAGCCTTGAGGGCGTATGTATACGTGAACCTATCAGAAGGCATCCCAAGAGAACTCATCGTGCGGTACAAGTTCAAGACCTCTTCCCCATGGCCCGCCAACGAAAGCGCTCGAAACAACGCGTTGTAAACATAAATAGTTCGCTTCCGAGTTTTGTCAAACACCTTGCGTGCATCATCAATCAGGTCCAGAGACGAATACATATTGATAAGTTTCGTTGCCAAGAAGGGATCTTGATCAAACCCATTCTCATGGAGGTGGCGGTGAACCCACTGTGCATCGACGAGCGAACTTTGGTGGATGCAAGAGAGAATTAGGTGCTCGTAGGTCCGTTGAGTCGGGTTGGACTCTTCGCTCATCAGCTTCACGGCCCGCTTCAGGTTGCCTTGTTTGCATAGAGACTGTATAAGCTGGTTATTGTCAGCTGTGGTCGAGGTCGAAGGATTCAAGGATACGAAACAAACGGGCGGCTTCCGGGAGGTACGTGGGATGAAGGCTGATGAAGGAGACGGCTGAGCATTGGGTTGAGGAGAACTAAGAGCCCACATTTGGATATGGCGTCTGATTTTGAGAACCAAGCCAAGCCGCCAACAAAGGGTTGAAACAACTCTCCCCTGCGGTGGTTGAGACTTGTCAGTCCTTTCTAATCGGACCAACTGTTGGAGTAGATGAGAGATGGAATCAATGGAGCCGATGCAGATGAAGTCGGAAGTCACAGGCGGCACAAGAAGCGGCAGCCTGAAAAATAAAAATCTGCTGGAAGTGGGGACTATTGAATTAAATGTTTATTTTTTATCCAATTTTTTTCAATTTTTTTATATTATTTAAATCTATCAAAATATTACGAAATAATCAAATGTTAATTAGTAATTTTGTTAGTAATATTGAATTGGCAATATCATATTGACTTGGAATAGACACATGAAAGTCAACATTCCAAAATTTTAGTATTTTAACTAAGAAAAGAGTTACAAAATTATTAAAGATAACGTAAAAATGACTAATAGTTTGATGCATTACGAAAGATTTGGCTAATTAATAACATTTTAATAGGTTTAGTTGTTTAGATAATATATAAAAGAATTTGAAAAAGGTTTGGATAAAAAATAAACATTACCCAAACTTAAAATACTTTATGAGTGTCCGACCAAACAATGAATTTTTATACAATTTCTTTCCCCGATCAATAAGAGGAATCAAATTAATGAGAAATACTAGCATGCTAATATATATTTTCTTTTTTATCATGGTGCTAAAACTAGGTTCAGCCAATAGAAACATTTCGTTTGGATGACTTTTCCATTTAATTGAGTTGACTATAATTAATGAAGGGAAAAGAAATGAGCGGCACGCTGGTCATTAAAAAAAAATTGGGAGAAAGGAAGAAGGGACCAGCCTTTCTTTTAGCATTATATATGAGGAAGGGAGGGGGACCACAGAAGTAGGTCATAAACTCCACAAAGTATGCCAGAACCTACACAAAGTAGGCTAGAACCTCAAAGTAGGTCAGAACCTCCATAAAATAGGTCAGAAACTCAAAATAGGTTGTAAGGCAGAAGTTTTTCAAAGCAGGCCAGAAGTTTCTTAGCAGTGGACCTGTTTATTAATTTTAAAAAGTTTAGGAACCAAAACGTAAGAAATAAAAAAATTTAGGTATTAAAATGTAAATTTTCATCAATTTTTTAGGTCTGAAATGTATTAAAAACTTAGGTACTAAATATTAATACCTATTAAATTCGGGTATCAAAACTGTAATTTGTAAATGAAACATAAAAAACAACGTAAATGGAAGGGGGAGGAGAAAGAGAAGAGGAAGGAGAAGGGAAAGGGATAGTTACTATAATACCCTTATAGTAAGTGTTAGCATGGTTAGGGTTGGAAGTAGGGCTGAAAGTTTGGTACCGGTATTTGGGATATACCGAATTTGTCTATATTTGATATTACCGAATACACGTATTATTTCGTGGGATTGAGATTGGGATTGAGTTTCAATTGTTATTCGGTATTAGGGATTACGGGATTAGGATCTGTATATACCAAAATACCAATCAATACCAAAATATAAGCTAGTGTGTATTTTATCCTCTCAACTAGACTCTCGCATTCACTACTACACGACATTCAACCACCAAGAGTGTCATTTAATTATACATAGATCATTACATCACTATTTCACACTAGTATTAGTCGTCTCTCAAACTCAAATTCATCAAATTAAAGATTACCAATTACAAAAACTTGAGATGTTAGCTCTAGGCAACTCAAGACTCTTTGCTTAGTCTCTTTGCCCTAAATTAAACAATAAAATCTAATTTATATATTTCATTATTAATTGCAAAGGTAATTAATTTAGTATTTGATAATACCGATTGGGATACCGAGGTACCGATTGGAATACCAGAATATTTAGGGATTGGGATTGGGATACCGAAATATTTAATTCATCGTCTCATCTCTCATCTAATTTTTTGTTATTTTCATAACATCAAAAAGAAAACGCAAGTATTCGTCGTCTCTCACCCTCCAATTTGTCGAATTAAAGATTTTCAATGACAAGAATTTGAGTTGTCATCTCTCCTCCCTTCTCCCTTATCCCTATCCATGTCCTAGCTCTAGCCAAACTCAAGAGTTTTAGCTTAGTCTCTTTGCCTAAAATAAATAATCAAATCTAATTTATATATTTAACTATTAATTGCAAAGGTAATTAATTTTTTATTCGATAACCGATTGGGATAGCAAAATATTTAGGGATTGGAATTGAGATTGATATTCAGGGATAATTTGATATTCAAGATTTCAGTATTGGTATTGGGATACCAATTTCCACCCCTAAATATGGTGCTAACTGATAACACTTAAGAGTGTTAGCACTCTATCCACTCCCCAAATACTCGCTCAAGTAGTTTGTGATTAATTAAATTGCTAAAAAAAATGGCATGCAATGACAGTTTTGTAAACTTTTGAAGAGTAAATAGACACAGATATTTACTGGACTACACAAAAGACGGGAATAAACTAATTTCCTCTAGATGAGCTTCATTATCAGGTTCGAGTACGAAGCTTTGTTTGACAGAAAATATTAGGATAAATTGCAAGATTGGTCACTAATATTATTAAAAACGTTTATATTTGATCACTATAAATATTTAATTCCATTCATGGTCACTAAAATTAATTAAATGTTTCAAATTTGGTCACTCTCCGTCCAACTCTGTTATCTTTTGCTTATGTGGCAGTCAACACTTACAGTTAACCGTTAAACATGTGATATGATTATTAAAAAATTAAAAAATAAATTTATTTTCTTAAATTTCCACCTCATTTCCAACTATTAAAAAGATAATAATAAAATTAATTTTTTTATTATTAAAAAAATTAGTCGCCCGCCCCTGCATTTTCCCACCGCCGCCTCCCAATCTTTCTTCTCGCCGCCGTGGCCCCTAGCCGATGAAAACTGAACGAGCTCCTTTCGATTAATCTCTCCCTTTCCTCTCTGCTCGCAGTCGTCGCTCACTCTTTAGCGGCAAGATCGCCTACAACTCTTCCAAATTCTTAGTCGTCACCACTCACTCCTTAACCCACAAAATCTCTATCGCCACTCACTCCTTTGCCCCGAGATCATTCCATTGCTCACTCCTTGCGCCGATGAGCTTGCGATTGCAGGAGAAGGAAGGGTAATCGTGAGGAGCGAAGGCGGCAAGAGCGAATAGAGCAATGGCGGTGACAGAGCGTCTGAAGTGGTGGCATCGAATTAGAACCATTTCTACCAAAAAAAAAAAAAAAGAATTAGAACCATTGGGTACTTGTGTTCATTGTTGGATCTATGAAATCCCCACCATTGAATAGCAGTAGCAGATCGACGCGCATGGTTTCAACTGTCAGGAACTTTTGTCAACTGTACTAGACACCAAGATCTAGGTTATAATTGCCTCTTCGTCATTACAATCAAACAAAGCACTGGCGGAAGCTTGAGGCGGCGGGATGCTTGAGCGAGGAAATCACCCAACCTCCTCAAAATGCTAAACCAAAAGCATTGCTATCTCTCGCTCTCCCTTCGGTACTAGCAGTGGTTGGAGGCGGTGCAGCGGTTGGCAGGCGAAGCGACGAGAAGGCTGGAGATGGAGGCAAAGCCCGACAAAGACTGGCTGCGATGGTGGTGTGCGGGTGGAGCGACGGCGACGCGGGGCTGGAAGCAGAGCTGTTCAGGGAATTATGGCGACGACAAAGTGCTCCGAATGGGATAAGAGAACCTAGGTTATAATCCATTATTGGACGGTAATTAGAGGCCCTCCAGCCTTTCTTCACTCCTAGGTGTCAATCGGGCGGGTTCGGGCTGGGTTCAATCGGGTTCGGGTTCAAACGGGTTGCGGGTTAGTCGGGTTGCGGGTTCATCGGGTTCGGGTTCGGGTTCAAACGGGTTGCGGGCTAGTCGGGTTGCGGGTTAGTCGGGTTCGGGTTCAATCGGGTTGCGGGCAAAATCGGGTTGCAGGTTCATCGGGTTTTGGGTCGGGCGGGTTGCGGACGGATCGGGTTTCGGGTTGTTCGGGCCAGCGCATCAAGTAACTTAACTCATTACTCATTACCAACTTACACATTTTATTACACTAATTTAAAATATTTTCTCAATTTTTTAACCAATTTATTTCTACCTCGTATATATATACTTTATTTTTTTGAAAAAAACTAGTCAAAATGTTAAATCAATTTGTATGACTTGCAAACTTGTTATGTAATTAATCATAATTGGTAAAGTATTATAGCTAATAGTAATGGTGATATCAATATTTGCAACCAAAAGACACCATTAATTGTTTATTTGATATTTTAGTATTAATTCAGTAGTAATTGGATTAAAGTATCTCGTTTAACTTACTCAATAGCATATATCCTATAACTTAGCCTTACCCTCAATCAACAATATTAAGTTAGTATATGTTGTTGATTGTATACCCTAAACCATCAATACATTATACACTAACCACATAACTTATACCCTATACCCTAACCATATGTCTTTGAGTTGTGATTTTGCTAGTATAGTTAATTTAAAAGTGAAATTCATACTTTGATTTTCAAAATATAGATAAAAAGTGATATTTGCTAATTGTTATAACCTAACCATATATCATATACTTTACACCACATACCTTGTATCCTAACCACGTACCATAAACATAAATTAAAAAGGGATCTCCTGCCGCTAAAGACTTCAAATGACTTCAAGTGAACATATGTTAATAAAAAACTTGGAACCGTCAAAACCATCAATATCTTATACCCTAACCATATACACCCTAAACCATATGTACCTTATACCCTATACCCTAACCATATACTTTATATCCTAAACAACGAACCGTCAAAGATGACTTATCAAGTTTAGTATAAATTGTTGTAACTAATGGTTAATTTATTTATTAGCCCATAAACAATTACATACATATATATATTAGCCTTCAAAGCATACAAGAATAATTTTAACTATTCATGCCCTCCATATAAAAGTTAAAGATTCATATTTCAATAGCTAAAATTATGAAAAACAAAAAAATTGAAAACACCAAATTTGTTTTCTTATTTCTTTTCACAAAAATACTAAAATTTCCCTCCTTCTTTCTACTTTCATACATTAGAAAACTGAATTTTCCCTCCTCTTTCTCTTCCATAAAATTGAAAGAACCAAATCACCCTCTTCTTTCCTTCTACAAAAAGTTGAAAACTCAAAAGTTTCCCTCCTTATTTCT